CTGTGGTAGTACAATAATATATATATATATATATATATATATATATATATACACACACATAAATACATACACACACATAATAGAAAAGAAAATATTGACTAATAATTACTACTATCATAAAGACTACGAACAAAATTGTGTGCAATGCAAATTTTTAGTGTAATAAAATGTCTGAAAATTGTGTTTCAAACATGTATAACAGCACTACACCTGAACCAGTATTAAAATACTTGCAATAAAATTTTTCATGTCAGTTTGTTTGTAGTTAAGCACAAAGCTACACAATGGGCTATCTGTTCTGTGCACACCACAGGTATCAAAAGTCAGTTTTTAACATAGCAAGTCCTCAAAATGACTGCTGAGCCACTGGGGGTTATTTCCAAGTCAGAACATATAGAAAAATGAGATGAATTAATTCCTAGTATTAGGCTGTCAACACATATTTACACATAGATGACAGTCCTTCATGAATGGTGCATTCTAAGAAGAAAACATAAGGTGTAATGCATTTTACCAGGTTTATTGTAAAATGGATTTCTGTGTAAATTTTGTCAAAATATATTACTAGGAAAAGGCCAACACCTGGAAAGTGACTGCCCACTTCTTTGGCTCGTGCTTGCCAGCTTTAAAAAATAGGGTTTTGTGGTCACCTATTGCACAAACTCCAGTAAAAGACTTTCTGGCAGGTGTCCAATGGGGATCCAAGCACTTTTCTGGGTCTCCCCAATGCAAATTCTCTTCCTTCATATCAGAGTGGATATGGGAGACCCTTGCCACTGACCAGTTCCTAGCTGCTGGTGTGATGGTCCTTAGAGAGTTCCTCACTGATTGTATACAGCACAATATTGTACGAACTTCGAGTTATAAATCAATAAACAAACAAATAATAAGTAAATAAATAAAACCTATAAATAATAACTAGAATGTGTTGAATCATCAGTTGGGCACCCTTGCGGTTAACCTTAATGAAATAATATCAACCAGGGTTTGAGCATTGAGACTAGTCATTTAGTCATTACACATTTTGTTATTAGCTATAAATATGGACCACCAAAAGCTTTCATGGGCCCCAGGGAAGGATTGGTGTGTGTGTGCCCCTTCTATTAATCAACTTTCACCCTGCTTTCTCCAGGTCCTCACCCCTTTGGGGCACTGGGCCTTGAGGAAATTCTTCCGACCTCCCCATCCTGTTATTGAGCCTGGATATAACACATTTTGTATAACAACACATACCAACCATACATGAGACTAGATGAAACTCTGGACAAGAATTAAGTTTTGTGACTCATAACACCCTTGAATGGTTGAGTAAATACACACCACCATTTATAGTCCTAACACATAAATTTCTCTCTTTTTTTCAATATGTATTAAGAGGTTTTATTGATACATCTTTTGATCTAAAATACAGACAAACATCACACTTACACATCCCTGGATACTGTCTCATTAAAGGTCCTGTTTGAGGAGGTGGTGGTGGTGGTGCTCCTTGTGAACCATCAAAGCCCCATGCTCCCATTCCTTGAGGAACATTCCTATCTCTCTGAGAATGACTAGATGGCTTTGGGTCAGCAAACTTGGCCTTAAAAGCTGCAAAAACGAAAGGAAACAATGACTGTGTTAATTTTATATATTTATGATATATATATCACACAAATGACCATGTAGTTGTACATTTTCTTTCAGAAATATCTTCTGAGCTATAAAACTGCATAACACAGCATACAAAATTCAAAACAAGTAAAGCATATGTGCATTCATAGTTTATCATGTAACATAGCTGGAGAACAAATAAATGTTTGTCACTTGAAAGTTTATTCATTCTTTTAAAAGTTTGCATTATTCTCTTATGTGACTAAAAGAAGTTATTTTCATTCTGAATGGCCAATTTTGCTTTCAGTTGCCTGACCTCTTCAAATAATATGACCCTGAAAACATTTTTGGGAACGAAAAAGAATATCTAAAGAAGAAACTATAATGAAATTACCGCACATGTCATTTGTTTTTAAGTATTCTAAACTTTCCACTACATTCTATTATTTTTCTCTGCAGAAGCTAGGATTTGTCATTATCCCAAGAAAACATATATTATTTCTCATAAAAACATTATTTACTCCATATTGGTGTCACCAGTTTATAATATGCTCTTCTGAATGTAGGTGCTTTGGAAGCTGACTTTAATTAGTAGTTGAAGAAATAAAATAATTGCATAGGTGAGGAAATAACAAAATAGAATATAAAGTGGTGGTAAAAACTCACCAAATTAAAATAACTTTATTAATAAAACAACATTTCGGTCAACAGCCTTTCACCGGGTTACCAGTGGCAATGAAACTGTTAATATAAGGGTTAGGTTGAAAGAACAAATTACACGTGGCTCAAAGGCTCGAGAACATGTTCCCGAAGCTACAAATGAGGTAGGGAAGTAACATATAAAATAAAAATAATACAATAATAACAATAACATTATAAAAATTGTATAAATAAAGTTCTTGTTTTATTAATAGTTATATCAATTTGGCGAGTTTTTATCACTACTTTATATTATATTTTTGCATTTAATTAGTAGTTGTTCAACTACTTATTGTGAGATCATAAAAGAGCAGAAACCAGGAGGCTGTTAATAATAAAATTCAAAGAAAGAGAACGCAAATCACGTGAAAAACAAAATCTAGAGAAGTGTATTTCTAAGGGATAATAGCTTATGCTTCGGGATGGGCAGAAAAATTTTCAAACAAATCTATAAATGCGTAGGTATGATTAAGACATTGAGATTTTTCTTAATCGAATTCTTGATAAAGTGATGTTTATAAAATAGTGAATTTTTAAAATTTTGGTATAAAGAAATGTAAAAATCAATTGTTTTTGTTATTTCAGTATTTTTTCCTTCCATAATGGTATCAACTCTTTTCTTTTACTCTCCCCCAAAGTATTAGCAAAGTATCTGTTCTGCTACCACCATTAACAAAAATATATGTTATTCCCCTAGTGGGTAAATTTGTTTTTTGGATATGAAGCGTATTTAAAATTTAGGCTTAACTGTTGACTTCAAGGCAGTTGTACTGAGATAATAGAAAACAGTTAATAGTTATAGAATAGTGAATTTTTTAAAATGTTGATAACAAGAAGCATAAAAATCATCTGCCATCATGTTTTTTTTGTAAATTTCTTGTGTGTATATGTATCTAAATGACACTCGTATATCTTCTGAAACCCGTAATTATTTTCTTTCATGCAATGTGTTAGCTGTAGAGCATTTAAAATGAATGTTATGGAGGGAACTATTAACGGTGTGTGCCATGGACTAGATATCAGGTAAACTCATTCTTCACGTAAAAAGCATATTTAAACTTTAGGCCTAATTTTGAATTTTTAGACACCTGTTGGAATTTATATTGAGATTTAATGGTATTCCATTACTTACAAGCCAAGGAAAGGTAAAGAATTAACTTAATGTGTTTCCTTACATGTTTGTTTATGTTTCTGAAATAATTGTCTTAATATTATAAATGTAATAGTTTTGCACTTGTATAACTGTAAAAGTACCACTGTACAATTAGCCAATAGAAATATCGGGTTTCCATGCAACCTAGTACACATACACGCAGAGACTGGCTAACACACACACACTGTTCTATTAATTACTCATCACCTGTTTAACAGCTCACCTACAAATATGCATATCAATCCAACAGTATCTCTCATTTCCTTGATAGGTGTGTGTGTGTGTGTGTGACTGAAGCCTCTGCAAAGACAGGAAACCATATGACATCCATGAACTCCTCTACTGTTTACATAGGTCAAGCCAATTCGTAATTATATTATGTACACGTACCTAACATACAACACAAAAGGTAAATGTGTTTGATGTTGGTGTTTCTCTAAGGACAGTAACAGCAATAGGAAACTAAAATTAACACTTTTTTTTTACTTTTTCCACGTATATGACTCAAAATTCCTGTGCGTGAATTTACCCATATAATGTGATTTTGTGAATGAACTTGGAAATATGTACGTGAAATACTCTGGGTTCCATGTTATTGAGAACTCTGCCACAAACGTATTTTTTAAAGAATTAAACAAATAAAGTTGTAGTTTTCAAATATTTTTACCAAGCTTTATTTTTTTTAAATATGACAATAATAAAATTTAGCATGCAGAAATCACTAAAAGCATACATAAATTAATATTTTTCAGATTTATTATCATAAATTTAAAACTACTTCAAAACTTACTTTTTGGGCAATTCTCAAAAGCATTTGCTGCTGAAGACATTTTCAAATATTTGACATATCCAAACCCTTTACTCTCCCCTGTACTGTGATCTCTCACAATATTCACACGGTCTAATTCACCATACTGTTCAAAGTCTTTTTTCAAGTCATCCTCTGTATATGTTTTTGGAACCATGACAAACAGACGTAACACACGCTCCTCTTCATTGGGTTCTTTTCTACTACCATCTTCCCTATTGTGAGCTATTCTTACCTTTAAAAACACCACATCAAAAATTAAGTTTGAAAAAAAGATAAAATCTTTACAGCTGAAGCATCTACAAACTAGAACTGGGCAAGTTAATCAATTAACTCTATGGAGATTGGCTCGGTCAATTTGACCGAACTTGTAACTACCATTTAACCATGAAATTATAAATATAAAGCTGTATGTACTGAGTATATATTCATAAAATTTGGCAAGTTTTTAATAAACATCACAAGTATGTTGTACACAAAAATCCAATTTTTTAATAAAGCATTTTTTACTAAATATTTGTCTGTGAATTTACAAAGCCTTTACTGATTTTCATGTTATGAATACAGATACTTCTTTTCATCCTACAGTTGTTCATATTTTATTTGCATAATCCCTAGAACCTTCGAAATGAACATCAAAAGTTTGTTTCCATTTTTATCAGAGATTGATAACTATTCTTTAATGTTACATGAGCAGACACAGATCTATGAGAGGGGACACAGACCTCCCCATTTGTCCAGAAATATATTAAAAAAAGCAACTAAATCTTTAAACAATAATATAGTATCAAAATGAAACAACAGGTGTCAGTGTTTTTATTTGGACTATTAATTACCATAAAGCTTTTTAGAGTATTTCTGAAATCAACACTGCTGTAGTCTACAGCAGTCCCGTCAAGGCTTCAGCCAATAACTGGTCTTTTCTATGGTAATACAACAATAGGAATGTCAACTGAACATTGCCATGGTAAATTTTCAATAATGTGTTTAGATTTTACAGATTTGTTTTTATCAAAATTAGTATTGTTTAGGATAGTTGCTGCTTGTTTCATTTATGCAAAATTCAAAACAAAATACTCCATCAAATTGTTTGAATCTTGAAAAAAAAAACATTTAAAAGACTATTTATCACTTTTTTAAAAAGTATTTCAGTAATTTACTTAGTATTTCTAAGAATTCTTAACCTAGAAAATTTACTGTACAATGCCTTTCCTCACTAAGCCTATTTATGTAATTTTTTTTTCTGTCCCAAATATATCTTTACCTTTGAAAATAAAATTCACATCTTGTTCTAATAAAAAGAAAAGTTCATGACTTAAGCCTAACTCCTTAAAAATCAGTTTGTTTGTTTTATCCAGCACATTATCACCAAGCTAAACATTACTTATCTTTACAAACTGTAGGAAGAAAATCGTACAAATTACAGGTAATTTGAGAAATCTCAGATCCAGGTTGTGTATTCACCATAATAAAAGTTGTGTCACAATTTGTGCTATGAAAGGGTAAGCTTGAATTACAAATAGGACTAAATAGGATCAGACAAATTATTCCTTGAATTATAGTTAGTGCAAAATTATGCATTTAGGTTAAAATGTGGATCCCATGTTTAATACAGATGGAAATCTACTAAGCAGTGGGACTAAAGTAAATAATCTGAGGATAGTGGTAATTAACTTATTCAAGAAATTCAGGCAGTGCTCTGGTGCTAGCAGTACCAATAAACCTAATAGAATTTTAAGATATATATATATATATTAACATACTAATTACAAATCAAAGGGGGTAATTATTTTTTTATACAAATCCTAGTTTACAGTTTTTGTTCTCCTTATCTAACAAAGATCAACTTATTATAAAAGGTTCAGAGGAAGGCTACTAGTGTGAGATTAAGAGAAGGTAGGATTATTTTATGGGAATTGGTTAAGATCTCTTATCTTCTCTTAAGAAAAGATGGGTAACGCGTGATATTGACCGTTATACAAGATTATCAAAAGGATAAATGCATCTGATTTCTTTGTGCTGTGCTCTAAAGGCAATAAGACACTTAAGTTTTACAAAGAAAAGGTTAGTATCAGGTAAGACAGTTTTATTTATCTCACAGGATGATTAGGTTATCGACTGAGTTTTATCAGCAGCAGTGGCTGATGCCAGTGATGGCATCTTACATGATATTATAAGGAGAACCAATGATTTCCTGAAAAATAAAGGATATATTGAAATTTCTATTTTTCTTTCTCCTAAAGGTGGGTGTGCAGGGACGGCCTTTAAAGACCAAATGGTCCCTTGTTGTCAGTATGTTATGGTATAGTAATTCCAAATTGACATATATCTACTAGGTTACACTTGATTAAGTTACAGTAATAGCAATTGTACGTGTAAAACAGTGAAATATAAGTTAGTCAAAAATATGAAATTGATAATATTAATTGTAAAAAAACTCTAAAGTTGAAGTTAAGAGAATAAATAGTTAACAGTAATGTAGTGGTTACATCATCTGAAGTTAGGGATCAGTCATTCCAGAGACAACAAGTCAATGTTCCATGGCTATACCAATTACAGTGCCATATATGATATAGCCTGGACTACAGCGATACATGGATTCTTGGTTTATATGTAAAACATAAAATGGTAAGAATCATGTCTAACTCAGTAACTGTCATACTCATAGTCTTAGTTTTTGTTCATGTTATCTGTATTAGACTTGTTCAATTTCAATTAAATTAATTGTTATTAGCATCAAACATACAGTTTCACACATTAACATGTCTCACAAAATTTGATATCTTGTCATGCCTTTATGGTCCATAGTGCAAATCTCGTACATTTTATGTTCAAGTCAGTCTAAACTTTAATTAACTCAGTCATTACATTCTTGTGGTTAATCAGAAATCATTCATGCAGGTTAACCTCCCTTCTTCAGGCTTCATCTTCTGAATGAAAATACAACTTACAAGCATTCATAAATGATTCATTCTTCAATTTCTTGTTTAATTGTCATTGCAATGAGATAATTACTTTTATTATTTATGTGCAGAATTTTCAAGGTTTCTGTATATGCATAAATGCTACTTTGTAATTATATATCACAATGTATAAATTTATTTTCATCAAACTTTTAAAGTAAATAAAAATAAAACTTCTAGTCTTACGGTGTTGCTTTAATCTTCAAGATGCACCTTTTGCTTCAGATTCCCCTAGACAAGTGCGACTATGACAATTAATATTACTAGTAGTAGGAGAATTCAAATGCGAACTTTTAGCATGAGAATACGTATATTATATACACAAATATCATATTTGCGGTTTTGGTAATTAATTAAAATTGGCATAATTTCATAAATAAATTATAATATTTATACTAGTAAACTACTCTATAACTTATAAGTAGAACACAGTGAACTTACCTTCATTGGCATGTGATATTTTCGCAAACGTTGGCCATCCATCGTTTCCATAGCTAATGCTGCCTCTGATGTCTTAGAGAACCTCACATAGGTTACACCTTTAGGCTTATTAGTTGCTCGGTCTTTCACAACCCAAATATCTTCAATGTTGCCAAACTTTTCAAATGCTTCACGAATTTCCTCTTCAGTTGTTTGTTTGTCGCAAAGTATGAAAAGTCTACTATGCGGTGGTGCACCATCATGTCTGTCTCTTTTATCTTTATCAGAAGATCTAAAATTCGAAATATTATCGCCATAACCACCATTGTAACCTCTCCAATAACCGCTGTAATTCGCCATTTTCGCACGCCTTTCTTTGTACGACAAATTCACTTTCAAACTTTTTTGTGCTCGCCTCGATCAAGGTGACGATCGCGTTCTTTCAGTTCCACTGCACAACTACAAACGATTGAGTTACAGAAAAATTATTAGATATTACATAATTAAGACTATTACTTTTGGCGTGTTTTTTCAATACGTTTCTCACATATACGTATAGATTTACTTGGGGATAACAAAACAAAGCAGATATAAATAGTTGATTAATTCGGATGCATTTTAAAAATACAATAAAAAATAAGAATTATTTAAATTAACTCTGATGAGTATCGTAATAAATACAGAGTTAATGAAAGAAATATTTTCAAATATATATAAAACGTTTTTCCAAGAATGAAATATGTACGAAAACAATAATCAATAGTTGGAAGCGAATGCTGTTGACTGCCTTTCTTAATTTGGAAATGATAATCAAATTGAGTTATTCAATTGAACGGAAGCTTTGAAAGCAGTTTTATTATTCTTATGTAAAGTTTAACTGTATGGTCTAATTTAATTTTTTATCTTGAGCTCAAGAATAAAAATTAACTATATACTCAATCCCTCTAAAATTCGGCCAAGAAGTAACAATTTGCATATAAGGAGGATGAGTACGTTGTATTAAAACGATTTTAAAATCAGCAAGTCATAAAAGAACCACAGCTGATATAAAGTCGCAATAGAATGAAATGTACCTGAACTACACCTTGATATTACTTGGCATTTCGGAGGTAGTGTTATGCTGTGGTTCTCTCAAGGCATTTGCGCTATCCATAAGGAAGGTTATACCCTCGAGACATCACCTGACCTGTTAGTAGCAAAAGTCACTGCCTACCTTTAAATATAGCATGCACCACTTTGCAGAAACCTTTCAAATGAGAAGACAAAGATGATACTGTCACGTCTCCGTTTGTTAATTGATTTTCCGTAAATTCGTTCCGACGAAATTTTAGCGACACAAGTCCTTACTTAATAAAACTGGTTTATTCTTTCCGAATATAACTTTACGATACACTTAATTTCAACAATCGCGCTAAAACAAACGCTATAACAACGAACGTGCTCAAAAATACTCTCTGACTGCAGATCAATTACTCACTGTCTACACACACATTATTGTTCCGTCACGTTGTCACCCTCTTATATATACCAGACCACCCTCCAATCTAGTAAATGCTAGAGCACTCCCGAAGGAACTGGATAGTTCTAGAAAGCAGGTGGCGTGGCAACAGTCACGTGATCTCGCTGACGCAACAATACTATTGATGAATGACGTAGAACAATAGGTAGCTAGAGAAAAAGGAATTTAACTACTTTTTTTTACTAATTTATTGTATTAAAACCGCATAGACATGAAAAAATTCTATATTAAAACAAATGGTAGCAAACATATCAAAATGCCACAGAAAATGTATTGCTTTTGGAAAAAGCCCTTTCAAGGCACACTATTTATATACTTTGACCATAAAGATGAGTTCTGCTTAGTAATTTAGATTTTCTAAGATAGGGATACCCCTTGTGCTTGATGATATTGGAAAGAAAGAGGTATGCAAAAAGATATCCAAGGTGGTGGCAGTGATCAAACATATTATTTCTTCGTCTTCTCTTCCTATCATTTGGTCACCCCTTGAGGTGATCTTAGTTTTAGGAAAGTCTTTCTCTGCTGCCAGGATGTCGTGGTCCCAATAGAGTTAGGCTCACATTTGGTGCCTGCACCTCAACATCATCAGGAACCATCTGAAGGGGCACATAAGGAGAGGTTTCCCAATAGCAAGACGTTCACTATTTTTCTTTCTTGACTGTTGATGTTGTGGCAGTTGATAGCTGTGGCTGAGGAAATGGCAAACTTGACATGACCAGATTGCAGATGTTGGTCTGTATGTGATCTCTGGAGCTGCTGAAGCTCTGGTTGGGTGTTCCATAGTTTGGTTCACAACTGACTGGGGATGTCCAACCCCAGAAGACCTTAAAGCCAATCCAGTAACTGGCTCCATTAGATCCTCAGTGATTGATGCATCTTCATCCATTGGTTGTACCAGGTCACCTTTTTGAGGAGTTAGTAGCTGAAGTTCAGATCCTTGTCAAACAGAAAGTCCTGAATATAGATTTCTTTTTTATGGTAGCTTTTTGGAATATGGAGGTTTCATCACATAATAGTAGAAAACACCACTGGCTAATTGAATATAAAAATACCCAATATTGTCCAGAACTTGACCTTAAAAAACAAAGGTCCAGACTGAAAACGTAAAGTTGATAAAGTTCGATTGGTCAAAGGGTCAACTAGGTGTGTTGGTTGAGAGAGGGTCATAACTCTCTGGTTACCACCATTACTCCTGTCTAAACCATACTGTTTTCTGTTGACATTCTTCATTACTGCATCCTACACACATACGCTATCTCATATTAGATATAAGCAATGCAAACCTTCTCTTTTGAGATTTAGGATCCACAAACACCTTCATTGTCCATCTTCTTTGTGGACCCATCTCCAGTTACAAGTTTAGTACTAGTTATGGGGCGAGTTACAAAGTTTCACCACGAAGGTATTACTTTCTGCCTTCCCTCAGTACATTTACAGCTTGCATTTGAGTGCATCGTATAGTGCACCTTGTACTGAAACAACGTTAAGAAAATATTTTAAAAACTGTGTTATTTACTTGATATTTCCGTCTGCATGATTGAAAATATATCATCACAATAAAAAAATATACTGCGTACTCCAGTTTATATTTATTATATATATATGCTACTGTTTGTTTATTGCATATACCACTGATAATTTCACCAACTTAAACAATTAAATAATTTTGTGCTACTCCTGATAAACAACAAGTAAAGCCATGTTTTCTCTCATCTGTAGAATCTCTCCGTTACTCTTATCCTTTCAGGAAAAATTCATTAGAAGCCGAATATTTCAATGTCGACAGTGGAACATTCTCTGACGAATATTAATGAAAATAACATAAATGTTTTATCTTCAAATAATGCCTTACAAGTTAGAAATAACAGTTAACTTCGTACTACAAATCTTAACATCCAGTTCAAATCCTTTGTTTCCTTTCACATCTGGCTTAATAACTGTGCCCACTGTGTAATTGATTTATTCATCTTATACAACACGTATGTTAAAAAAACAACAATGATACAACATTGCCATAATCACAAAGGTTTTGTTACAAACATTTACTAGTAAATATTTAAGCTTTCAAACGTGTTTTAAATGTTGTAACAAAACAATGATATTACACTGTACTGAACAATATTATTATTCGTGATAAAACTATAAGGACCAATTTAGTTCACATATATAGAGAAAAACGTGACATTATAAAACTGGAAATATCTAAATAAAAATTATACAAGAATAGATCTTGTACATATTTATGATAGTTAACAATAAAATAACTCTGTTAAAGTTGTGGTTAAAAATTGATTTCATAGATCTGATCTTGATTTTCATTTCACCAGTGATGTGTGGTTATTGTGAAGCTTTGTAATACAATGTGTGATAGACCAGTATAGTTAGGCGTATATTTTTTCTTTACTTTTTCAGCAAATGTTTAACTTTTAAGTTTCGATGTGAATACCTTGCAGTGCTTGTCAGGGACACAGTGGCTTATTTGTCTTACACATAGCAAGTTAAGCGTATGTCCTGCATGTGAAAATTGCTTAAAAAAGGGTGATTGTAATTAACTAAAATTTTGAGAAACAATCCAGTGGAAAATTAAGAAACACTTGTCAGAAATAAAGAATTAATAAAGGAAGATAAAACACAAGGAAAACGCCAAAAAAAGTTCTGAGGTTAAATAACTATGAAAAGAGCGCAGATAAGAACCACAATCACACAGGTACGATACCAAAAACAAAATAAAGATATGAGTAAAATAATAAAAAGTTTGGAAAGTACATTGGGAAAGTATAAATATAGATGATGTTTATTCATGAAGTTGGTAACCAAAACCACATGAAAAATTGGAAACTATAAAAATTTTGAAGGAAGTCTCAGAGGTAAAAAGTTGGAGATAATTAATATCAACCTGGATATGAGCATATGATAAAAAATAAAGTTACTACGTCATGAAATACTCGAAGTTCAACACTCTAGGAAAAAAAGAAACTTGGTTTTGAGAAGTGGATTACTAAATGAAAATGCTATACACATATCACAATGGCTTACGTAAGCAGACGACAACAAATTGTTAACATTGTAGCAATGTATATAAAATAAAGATTGTAATATATATACACCTAAAGTTCTGTAGTGTTATCTTATAGGAATATACATTGCAGTGGTTACAAGTTACATTTGTGATATTTTCAGGGTCTCTGAGTTTCTTTTAAGTAATTGGTTAGGAATCACAGAATAACAGGTGGCTCACGAGAGAAATGATTTTCGTATCAAAACCTGAATTCTCTAACCCTGACTGAGTTTGAAGCAAAGAAAGAGACTGGACATAAGTTAAACAACAATAAAGGCTAAAAAGTGTATATCTTGGACACCTTTACAGGAGAGCTGGCAAATCACGAACTCTATCTGTAAATCTGATCTTAATCTAATCACAAATCCCAATCTTAAGTATTACAGACTGAGAAAACATAGCATTATATATGAAATACAACAATGCTATTTTTTCAGGCTTCATCGGCACAGGCGGTACTACCCACATATTGGTGGTCACTCTAACTACAAAATAAGGGGTGTTGTATCCTTGAGACATCATCTGACTTATCAGTGGGAAAGATCACTGTCTATTTTAATAGACTATGCCTCACTTTACAGTCACCAAGGTTCAATAGGTGACCAAAGTGAGAGGAACTTAGTGGCTCCCTTGACTGGCATTCTATATTAAGACTACATAAACAATGTAGATAAATTTTGATAAAAAAAAGGAATTTTACATGAAATAAGGTGGTAGGAAACACATAGTTGTGCCTGCATACCAAATTTCAACTCTTCTTTTTACATTAACACTTCCAGCTGTAAAACTTAAAAACCAATTAAAATATCCCACATATCAGTAAAGAAATCACTACTGTCACCCCTAGGAAACACTTACATATTACAATCTACACATAAAAAAGGAAACATAACATGATAGCAAAAAAAGACAATACGGTATATAATGGTGCAATATATTTGTCATTTTCTTAAAATAACATTACATTTTTAAAAATTTATTCTTTCTCTAAGTTCAGTTTGGAGGCAGAGATTCTCTCATGTAAACAACTTAACTTTTCTTCACTTTAATTGTGCACTAGATCAGATTCACTCTCATTGATCATTAAATGCGTTCTCGTACAAGAATGATAACCGTGATCTCATTCTTGATGTCCCAAAATAGACAGTTGTTTTTCTCTGATAATCAGGGGCTTCTCAGCCTCTAGGATTGAGTAAAAAAAAAAGTCTGATGAGTGTGGTGCATTTCATTAGCAGCCTGGCATTGTTTATGCCATTATACTTTGTATTTAAAGGCCAGGATCTGTCTCCAAATAAGCACCATTGTTGTTATTTCAGAAATAGGGATTTTGAAAAACTTTTTAAAAATCTTTCTTTGTCTTTAACACACAATTACTCTGAGAGAAATTCGTGTAATAAAAATATCACACCAAGTTACAAAAATCAAAATTAGACAAACAGAAATGCCTTGAAATTGGATATTGGAAATACTAAGTAAAAAATAACCTTTAGACAAATAAAAAACAACATAGAAAAATCCTTTAAGACTGAAGAAACATAGCAAAAAACTATATGGAACGGCTCTTTATAAATAGACAAAAATAATATATACTTGTGTTAAAAACGCGTTATACTGGAATAAGTCTTTTGACATTAAACACAAAATAAAATAAACCCTAATCTAATTCAATTATACCACTCAAGAAATAAATGTAACTTACCCTGACTTATAACTTTAGGTTCTTTGTTGTTGAGCACAAAGCTACACAATGGGCTATGTTTAGAAAAATATGAAGTATTTTATATAGTATATAGTATTTTTTATGTTTGAGCTAAAAGTCTACATGGACATTTTTGTTTTCTTTCATTTTAGCAGTAAGTGGTATCTGCAAACAACTTCAAAAGAGCACAACGTAACAGTTAGTTAACAACAATTTATTAAAAGTTTGATTTATATATATATATATGTTAAAGATTTCTTTTCTTTTTCACCAGAGGTGACATTAAAAAGAGTTTGTTAGTCTGTTTTGGGATTCGCGCAAAGCTACACGAGGGTTATATGCGCTAGCCGTCCCTAATTTAGCAGTGTGAGACCAAGGGAAGACAGCTAGTCATCACCAAATCTTGGGGCTAGTAACATTATAAGGCCCCCACGGCTGAAAGGGAAGCATGTTTGGTGTGACGGAGATTCGAACCTGCGACTCTTAGATTGTGAGTCGAGCCCTCTAACCACCTGGCCATGCCGGACCAAAATTTGAAAAGAAAATCTGTAATGTAGAGCAGCGCTTCTCAACCTTTTCCAAAAACTGATGACGAGAAACCCTCATGAAGTAAAAATGTATACCAGAAACGGCTGGTATGGATATTAAAAACTTTAATTAAAATAAAGTACAAGAACAACGTTTCGACCTTCTTAGGTCATCTTCATGTTAACAAAGACAGTTTGAAACTGACCCATACCAGCTGTCTCTGCTATACAACTTTTTCCAATGTCATTCACCCCTATAAGTTTTTCACAACAGCTCATTCACCCCAGTTCGAATAAAGATAAAAAAGTACTAAATTAAAATGCCAAATTCTTTATTATGACTTAAATATGCATCAGATGACAACTAGAATGAATAAAACATAAAATAAAAAATATAAATGTATTTATTAAACTACAATTGGAATAAATATTAACAACTATTGACTTTTTTGTCTTAAATTTGTGCCGTTCACCCTATTATTCTCATTCACCCTGATTTTGATCTCATTAACCCTTGGGTAAACCATTCACCCAGTTGAGATGCACTGATGTAGTGGCCTAATACAATTAATAATTCACATACCAAAATTAATTTGGGTTACTATATGGTGAAGTAAAACGGACTCAAAATCCCATAGACGGCACAGAGTTTGATTTAATTTCACGAAATAAAGTGAAATGCGCCCTCTATGGAAATAATAGAAGAAAGAAAATGGCTGATAATGTGGATTCAAGTACTGATTTGCAAGGATTGAAGGTTTGTTTGTATTATTTTATGGATCTATGTTATTATAATTTTATTGGTGATGTATACTTTGTTATTAATGATGGCGTAAGTAATTGGGGTTATTTTGATTTAAGCTGGTTAGGCAGTTTTCGGTGTAGACTTATAGTTATAACTTATACTGTAGTATAAACTCTAACTACAGTGGGTAAAACAAAATACGCGGCGTAGCTAACTGATGAATGAATATTTGCTGTAAAATTCTTATCAATGCTATAAGTGTAGCTACCAGTTTGGCCGCCAATTTTGATTTCATTCCTTTAAGTCGCACATTCAATCCTTTTTGGCTGCACCTTTTTTTTCATACCTTAGGTGTTTTTGATTAGATATGACTTTTTTGCCAATACACTTCAACAAACCACAGCAAGTAAGAAAGTGACACTCAGTAGTAACCCACATTAGCTTTAGGATCGCAACCCTATTATTCGGAACAGACCTATACTTTACAGAACCAACAACATATTAAAATATATGGTGGTAGTTTTTCTTCTGTAAAACAGTGTTAATAGCTTCCTTTATAGTAATGCCATGGAATTTAGATGAACAGTTTCTTCTCATCACCACATGCAATCGGTACAGCTGTATCAAGCATCATTATTTATGCTAATTGCTTAAGCTAATAAATATCACGTGATGCTAAGCATGCCTTAATTAGGATAATTTCATAAAATTTAAGAAATTTGTGCTGAACAGTTGGCAATGAATAATCAATAATAATCGTCCACCCATATGATTCTTTTGAAAACTTGAGCTACAAACTGACAATCTAGTTTCCTTGGCCAACCAATACTTATGGATCTGCACATCCTTTCATGTTATAGTTTTACTGCTCTAAATTTGATGTCTTTAATTCGATTGACCAAAAACTTTTACTCTTTGGTGAAATTGTAGTAAAAATGTTTGATTAGTACATGACTTTTTGCATAGGCGTGCTCAAAAATGATCATCAAATAAAGTTTCCGTACTTTTGGTGTAAAGGAAAAATAATAATAGGAAGAAACTCATAATTGGAGATGTTATATCTCAGGTATTTCTTAATGGATTGACTTGAAATATGGTACATGAAGTAAGAATCCAGTAGAGCACATCCACTGAAAATATTTGATAGTTTGGATTTCTACAACACAAGATACAGAAGGTGGAAAATTGCCAAACTATCACTCCTGTTAATAACACACACACTGTGTGCTGCAGCAGGTTGTTTTGGCCACACGACACGTTACTGTATGTCTTGATCAACTTCATACCATGTCTTTTACATAGAAAATAAATGATTTGTGCTACAGGGTTTCATCAAATTTTTTATAGTGAAAACAAAAACCCTACTTACCATTGGAATTGACAGTTTAAAAAGACCAGATTTGTACTGCAATATAAATTATTTATTTAATAAGTGACTAAAAAGACTTAATAATCATACTAGTAAATTGACCATTCACATCATGTGAACGTTTAACTGATACAATACAAAAAAAAACTTTTACCTGACAGTAATAGTCTGAGATGCTGCTCTAAACCTGTGAGGAGATGAGATGTAATGCTAATAAGATACTTTAATTTAAAACCTGTGTGCGTGAGTTTATATGATATTGAAAATGAGTAGGAAGTTATGTATTTAGCAATAAAAGTAAAGGAGAGATTTTGTATTCTTATTGGTTTTAAAACATAAATACCATGAGTGACAGTCATGTCTCACAATAATTGTTACATTGAATTAGAAAAGCAAAGGAAGCAAACATTTTTCAATGAATTATGAATGAAATGAATGGTAATAAGAGTGGCTACACCATATTGTTAATAATGAAACTTTGCTAATATTATTAGCAAAGTTATTAATGTTATATAGAAAGTACTAGAATTACAATCCTACAAAATATCAGTTATTAAATGATTTTGAATCTAATATGTTATTTCTAAATGTAAACATTTATTCTTTAACATCATATTGTTGGGTGAATTTTGTTAATCAAGCCCTGTTGGTATGTCAAGCCATCACCCTTTGGCAAGGTCTCCATCTTTCAATGTAAGAAAACATTACAACCAGTAGAAAAAGGAGACTGTATGGATAGACAATTGTCACCATACACGTAGAGGAGAAAGCAACAGTAAGAGATGATCAGCTGCAGGGAAGTGTTTCCTCAGGTGGACATGGTGGCTGAGGATATCTGACAATATAACATTTTGTGAGAGAAAATGTGTGTATAAAAGCATAGAAGCAAAGTTATTTGATCATACAGATTCTTTGTAGGATTTCAAGTTTAATGTTGAAAGCTATCTGTATGACATGTCCTACTTGAAGACAACTATAAAAGTTAAAACAAGCAAATTTACAGGCAGTATGATTATATGTAATACATAGTCAGACAAAGGGTTTTTACATTGGTAAATTTTGCTACTTAAATAGTTTAATTTATATGTAAATTGATTTTTCTGTGCATCACAGTGATTTTTATCAAGAAAAACTTTTAAAAACTGTACATACAGAGTGGTTTGATAATATTATCATTTCTTGAGAAAGTGTTACAAAGTTAAAATGTTGAAATGAGCTACTTCGGAAATAGAACAAACTAATAATCAACATTCAGTTTTATGAACTAGTTCAGGTCAGTTTAATACAGATGTTAATTGTGTCACATCTCACTAAGTTTGAGTTGTACTATTTGGTTCTGATTACTAATAATTTATCTGATCTGTATATATTACATTCTCATTTTATTTACAAATGACGTTGCCATTGTTTGTACCACTTATATATCACATTGCATATAATGTTTGTACTACATGTTCTTTAACTTTAGCCATATCCTATGGTATGATGTAAAACAGACTGTTGCCAAGCTAACTTATCATCTGTTTACAGTTCCAGTTCATCTTTATTTTGATGTGCTGTTTGTTGGAATTATGCATATATATATATATGTGTGTATGCGCTTTTGAATTATTAAATAAGGACCACTGAGTTTTATTATATGGCTTTGTTTTTTTCAAATTAAACAAATATTAGGTGTTTATTAAGTTTTGTTTGTGTGTTTTCAAATACGAGGTGTTTGTGGATGCAAAAAACAAACCAGAACAATGAAGAGCATGAACAGAGTTATTGCTTGATATATCACTGACTCTGATTTACCAAAAACCTTCCACCAATGCTCAGTTTTTGGGTAGCAACATTCACCTATTGGTCACTGCTGAATGGCAGAGGAATTCCTAGCAATCATGAAGTTCTTTTTGCAGTTGATTTACAACTAGTAGGAGAATGGTTGCCATGAAATATACAGTACGAACTCAGCATGTAATAGTACTGTGGACATTTTCATTTGTTGTTTGATGTACAGTAATTTACTATTTTGACAGATGTTCCATGGCCAAGTGCTAGTATTATCGCAAAGCCCTATTTGTACCCAATATTTTTCTTTTCTTTGCAATTCTTTACAGTACTATAGGTCATGACAAAATCAATTTAAACCGAGTGTTTTAATATAATACTAACTAAGAGATAAAAACATTGAATTAACCAATATAATATGGTATGTGGTCCTACCAGGTAATGATCAGTATGGAAAAATGGTAGTAATTTGAAGGTTTATTGCTATTATTGTAGTAATATATATACATCTTTTTAGTTTAAGCTGTTGATAGTGCTAACATAATATACAGGCAATAAGGAATCATTGGTTTTTCAAGACTATATCTATACACCATCCCCTAAAAAACAACCAACAAAAAAAATCCTCAGTTAGCTTCCTTGAACTACATTACTGTTTACAGCAAATCATTTTGTAAGCTACTTACCCTTTTAGAAAAATAAAACTGTCTTAACTGGAGCCTAACTTTTGCCAATTCTTAATCTTGTAGTCTAGGGATTCCCAACCTTTTTGTTCATCTGAACCCCCTTGGGCATTCTCTCCCAAAGCACTAATGGAGGGAGGAGAGCTTGCCCAGTTGGCTGATCCCTAGTTTATCAGTTGATTTGTAACAAGGGTGTTCTGTATTGCATATGTTCTACATTA